GGGACTACCAGTTACCAAAGGGGAGGGATGGGTGGGGGGCGAGAAGGGGATTGAGGGGCATTATGATTGGTGCACATGGTGTGTGGGGGGGGATCATGGGAAACAGTGTAGCACAGAGAAAACAAGAAGTGTCTCTGTGGTATCTCACTACACTGATGGACAGTGACTGCAATGGTGTGTGGGGGGGAACTTGGTGATGGCGGGAGTCTAGTAAACGTGGTGTTCCTCATGTAATTGTAGATTAATGATACAAAAAAAAAAAAAAAGAAGCCATTGGAACATCCCAGGTGAGAAATGATGGTGGCCCGAAAAGGAGTAATAGCACTGGAGAGAACCATGCCTTTTTGAAATATTTAAGAGGTGGAACTGGCAGGACTAGGTGGTGGCTCAGAGATGTGGGGTGAAGAAGCTGAGGACGACCAGATGACCAGGTGAGATGTCGTAAGCAAGCAAGCAGTTCCTCAGCCTGAGGTCAGAGGTCAGAGAGCACCAACTGGCACCTCGGGCGGAATGGGCGATGGGCAGAGGAATCAGGGCAAACGCAAGGCAGATGAATGCTTCCTGCAGGAGCCAGGCTAGCGGCAGAAATGGTACACTCACAAACTGAGAGTGTGCAGCGGGCTTCTGGGGAGTGGAGTGTGGAACCGCATGATGCTCAAGGGCCAGCAGGCAGGGCCTCGGTCATGCAGGGACTCAAGGGCCAGGGACACAAGTGCAGACATTACCCAAGGCACAATGATAGAGAGGGAAGAGAGACATGACAAGGACAGCTCCCTGTTTGTGACAGGAGTAAATACCATTTATGGAGATAAAGAAGGCTAGCAAGAGGCATATTTGGGAGGGGGGAAACAAGAGTTCCCATTGGACATACTAGACTAGAGATGTGAAGTAAGCAACTATAGACAGGGGTCTCAGAATTCAGGGGAGAAACCTGGGTTAGAGATACAAATGAAGCAAAGAGGTAGGATTTTAAACCACAGAAGTGGCTCACATGCAGAGTGTGTAGAGAAAAGAGGCCAAGACTGAGCCCTTAAAATTGGACATTAAGAAAGATGTGGAGACAGTGAAAGATTATTTGTGACAGAGTGGAGACTAGAAAGGCTGCACAAGTAACTCAGGAGTAGATAAGTGAAGAGGACAGCTAACCCTGAACACTGGTGGAGGGACAACCAGAGGACATCTCTGTTACAAGACTCAGGCGGTTTATAGAACAAATGGCAGCAAGATGAGGGCACTCCTGACTGCTGGTTCCTGCATCCTACCTGAGAGGCAGGGGTAGTGAGTCGAAACGTGAAAGTTAGAAGAGTGGAGAAGGTTTGAAAACAGTTGACTCACAGTGGAAGAATGAACATTAGAGTAAAACTGTCAGGCGGTGTTGCATGTCCAGATCAATTCACAAAGCTAGTCAATCCTGAGTCCTTAGGGATGCCAACTGGTTCTGCTGGGTGATTTTCTCCAGGAACACTCTTCAGTTCTAAAAAAGCACTAACACCAAAGTGCCATGTCTCACCCCAGCTGCTTTTGAGGGTGTTTCAGAATCAGCTGCACCAGCCCCAACCCAAGTCACAAAGTGGGTGTTCAGATATCCCAAACCTTAGAAGATGACCCCAACGCACTGATGTCCACAGGAAATTAGCAAAAGGAAAGTGATCTCTCTGGCCCCCAGGTTCTCAAGGTTCCTGAGAGAAAGGCATTTTCTTTTTTTAAGTGGTATAATCCTATTTATACATTTTTATAAAGTATGCTATCTTTTTTTTAATTTTGGTATCACTAATCTATAATTACATGAAGAACATTATGATTACTAAGGCTCCCCCCTTCACCAAGTCCCCCCCACATACCCCTTCACAGTCACTGTCCATCATAAAGTATGCTATCTTTCAAATGCACATCTAAGATAACCCTAAGAGATAAATAGCTTTACAAATATTTTCATACTCAAAAATAAAATTAACCATAATAGTAACTAAAACTCACAGCTTACAACATGTCAAGCCCTGTTCTGAGTGTTCATGCATTAGCTCCCCTAATCCTGACAACCTTTCAAGGTAAATTCTATAATCAGTATCACAGACCCAAAACACAGAAGTTCACTGAGGTTGAACAACTTGCCTAAGGACACAGATTAAGTTGCTAAGCCAGGATCTAATTCTGGAGGCTGTATTCCTCACCCCTACGCTCTTCTGTCTCTTGTAACTACATATGTATTTAAATAAAAGTGATCCTAGATACTGTTCTGTAACCCACCTTTTACACCAAAAAAGTTCTATGGTTATCTTCTTTCCGTATCCACCCGTGTAGAGCTACATTCCATGTGTAGCTGTATACTTTCCCACTGTGAACTATGCAGCAACACCTTTGGAAACACACCTGGGGACAACTGTATGAGGGATTTCCCAGTGCACCGTCAACTCTTGCCTGTGCCTTTTGCCCACCATTTGCCACCCTGCCAATTCCAACCCCTGGATCCTTTTTAAAGTCTTATTCTTTTCTCTACTGTTACATCAAGGTTATTTCATCATCATCCCCATCACGATCACCTGCACCAGACTCCAAACTGGTATCCCTGCCTCCAGAGTGAGGTTCTGAAACAAACTCACTTCCCTCCTTAAAACCTTTCCATGGTATCCAGCGCTCCTAGGACAGAATCTAAACACCCTTATATAGTTTACAAAGCTATCTGGTTCCCATTTAACTCTCCAGACTCCTTTGTTATAACCACAGTCGTGGCCCAACCTAAAGAAGAAAAAAAGGCAGTTTTCATTTAAAAGCTGTGTTCTCTTGCCTCCTGGTATTTGCAAAAGCTGTTCCCTCCTCCAAGAACATTTATTTTCCAACAAGTCTCCTCCCACATGTTCCTCTTCAGCAAGCCTTCCCTGCCTTTCCACCAATGGGCCGGGGAGCACCACCAGCACTTGGTTCCCCCTACCCTTACACTCATTTTCCTATATCATGATGGCATTTTGTGCCCATCTCCCCCGCCTCCCCTGCCCCACCCCTGGAGGACTGAGGGCAGGGGCAGTGTGTTACTTAACCACTGTAGGCTTGGTCCCTAAGCATGGTGAGGTCTCAGTAAATGATTAATGATTAAACTAATGAAAATAACAATATCAACTTGGGAAATTTCTTCAGTAGTACTGACTCTTTTGCGACTTGGCACTGTTGCTCAGAATTAGTCTGAGAGAGGAGGACTTGGTGTTCCTATTGAAGGTTAACCGGAATTTGAAGCCTGAAAAATGCCAACACAGGAGTAAGCTACATATGGGTGAATGTTAACAGAGAGCAGAGCACCCTTAAGATCCAGAACACTGCAACCATCTGACGCCAAAGAAATTTTGATCCTACACTATTACTACTTGGAAACCTAGAATTCCAAACATGGCTTCTCGTAAGCTTTTTCAAGTAATGAAACCAAACACATCATGCCTAGTAAATTGTACTCAAGCAGCAACAATTTCCACAAAAAGAAAACTATGTTAGTAGAAAAGCATCTGTTTAAAGTTCTCAAAATCTCAACAGATATTAAGTACTTTTCATTCTGATTAACAGCAGATGAAGAGATCCATCCATGTTCAGTCTGACCCAGGACAGTAACTAGCAAGTAAAGGACTGACCGGTCACCTGCTCCCAGCCTTTTGTTTCCTCTTCCACAGAGAACACTTCTTCAAGTTCTGAAGCTTACTGTAGAGTGGGAAAGCCACTCAGAATTATGCTTAGCTTTTTAAGTCACCTTATTATACCTGAGGATGCTTGATTTAACACTCCCTTAAAGCCAAGTGCCTGAGTAGTCTTATTCTCTTTCAGTCTCCCTACTAACTCCAGAAATTCAGACTAATTCAGTTATATTTAGAGGGCAAAAGTTTTAAAGTCAGGATTAGTGTCTCTATGTGTTCCTAGTATTTCATGCCTAGTATCTTGCAGCTTCCTCTAACAATGGAAAACAAAGGGATCCTGTTCTAACCTGACTACAGACACTATAGATGTTTCAGGAGAAAGGCTTTCTGTGTAGCTTAGTACAGATCAAGCTCAACTGACTACATGGCAAAGGCAAGTGAATCAAGTAGACCACGTCAGAAAAAGAAGACAGAGTAAAACATTTCAGTTCTCACATTAGGCCATCTCCTGTAGGGGCTGCAGGACAGAACACCCACACCAACCAGAGGCAGCCGGCACTCCATCCCCAGTCCACCAAGTGTGGGAAACAAGGGCCTGCTATTGCCAGGTCTGCTTTTCCAAGAGAAACTCCAAAACCAAAGGTGGGGGGGGAACCTCTGGAATTTTAAATGGTTGGCAACATTTTTTTTTAATATCATCCATTCCCTTCCCCAAAAAGAAAATCCACAGGCAATCGTTTGCAATCTGTTATTTTGATTCCAAAACTCAAGCTATTATTTCCTAGCTCTTCATGTCTTTGGCCTATCAGTAAACTTCTGAGCTTTACTGTCCTCATCTGAAAAACAGGGTGACAAATATGAAATACAATGCTTGTTAAATACATAAAACAATTCCCAACACAGGATAAACAACTTTTTCCTAAAGGTGGAAAGCGGACCTTACTACCAGTAAATCATTTGCTGTGATCTTCAAAGAATCTAACTGAAGATCCTAGGAAGGTAGAGTTCTCAGGAGATTTAGAGCCTTTCAAATTCTGATTACTAAATACTGAGTTTTAAAGTCATTGGAAACTCAATAGAATCAGCAATAAAGAATGCCTAGCAATAGATTCTTAATGACCTGGAAGTGGTTCTTCTAATTAAGAGATCTAGTAACTGTCACTAGTTAATGGCCACAAAAAAAGCCATGAAGTGCACATTGAGGGGTATGTGTTTGAAGAAAAACAGTGCAGCTTCTAAAATAAGCTGTTAAAAACAACCAAAGGTTTTTAAGGTAAGTTACTCAAATCAGACAAACTTCTATCATCAGATTATAGACTCTGTTAAAATATTTCCACTACCGTTCATACTGTTTTAAGAAAATGCCAAAGAATACTAACCACAATATTAGGAAGAGACTCTTAAAGAATTGCTTTATTAATTTAAAACATACAAACTACAGAGTGCTAAGAAATTTAAATATCTAAGTCATAGCAAACAGGTGGCAATTCAACATCCAGAGTTGACAGAATGCTCGGAGATGACAACGGATCTAGAAAACAGAAATTTCTTTTTCAGTATATGCGAATTCTTGAGTCTTTGTCCAGCTCAATACAGACATCAGTTGTCACTTTTCATCATAAATTCTTGTTTTTCTCTTTGTCTACTCATCCCTACCCCCTCCCCATCTGTGCACAAGTGCACACACACATTTACTTCTTGGGATGTGGCTGTAGTCTCAGAATCAAACTTACTATGAAATAAATCTTATAAGTACCTAAAACTCTGTTGTTCTTCTAGGCTCAAGAGCCAATATCACTAATGTATAAAATAGTATTTTTTTTATACATTATAAAATGTATAAGTTATAAAATAGTATTTTATCCCATCAGATCAAATAGAAAATATACTGATGATGGCTTCTAATCACCAGTTTGAACCAAGACCTCAAGTCTTCTGCAATAGGAAGGTCTCGTCATACTATGCTATTAAACATGTGTCTTGTATTTACATTGATCCTGTATTAGCTTTGGATCTAACTTGGAATTCTCACTGAAGCAAGTTTATTACACTTCAACTTATAACCTAAGAAGCTATATGCTAAATCTTGTGCTGATCTAAGACTGTCCAGACTTAATTTTGCCCAGGCATTTGGGGCTAAAAACCAATATTAATTGAGAGCAGTTTTCATTATCTTAAAACTTTATCCCCAAAGTTGGAAGAACAGAAATTACTTGTAGGCCAACCTTATGCACAACTCTGTCCCCACGGTAATGGAAGCATTAGGACAAGCTGTTTGCAGCTCTTCTAGAAGGGAGCTTGTTCACTTACTAGACTCCCACGGTAGAGAGGGCATCTTCAGAGGTGAAGGGGGGCCCAGGTGCAGCAGCTTTTCAATTTCCTGCTCCTCGTCAAGGATCATAAGAGGCACTCCATTCAAGGGTAGGTGTGCAATCTGGTGCTCTTCAGGCAGGTCAAAACTCTCAAAATCTGCCACAAAGAGAAAGCACTTCGTCAGGACAGTGGTTCTCAGGGAAGTCAGTGTACCCCTGGGGGTCTGAGACCCTTTCAGCAGGTCCATGAGATCAAACTATTTTCACAATAATACCTTTTCCCACTGTGTTAACATTTGCAATGATGGTACAAAAGCAATGGTGGATAAAGTTGCTGTGCCTTAGCATAAATCAAGGCAGTGGCAATAAACTATATTTACTAGTCACTATATTCTTCACTACCATTTTGCTTACAGTAAAAAAATTCCTGTTTCACATGATACTTCTTTAGCATATGCAGTAAAAAGTATTAATTTTTCCTTGAGAATGTATCTTGTGAGTATTCTGTGCAACAAAATAAGCAGCTCATAAAGTTCCTGCTGCATGCTGCAGTACCTCAAGAAGAAAGATGTGAGCAATCATTTGATTTGCAGCTAAAATAGCGGCCCTCTTCCCACACCATTTAGTTGAAAGACAAACTGTGGTTATTCAGACTCAAGTGTTTGTCACACATTTTCTCAGAGGAATGAAAGAAGTCTATCACTTCAAGGAAAACAGTCTTTGCTGCCAATGATAAAATACACAATTTCAAAAAGAAAAAAAAACCTAGAATTTTGGAAAACTTCTCTGCAATCAGTAGCTTTCTAAATACTTTTCAACTGAGATCAATGGTGACTAATGAATGGCTTTTGATATTGCATTTGAAACACTTGAACATTCATATGACCTAATTTTCCAGTAAGCCAGTATTTCTAAATGATTATGAATGATAAATTCAAGGATAAAAGACATATTCAAATTGCAAAGCAGACAACAAAAATGAATTTCATTGTCAGAGTACAAAATGTTCCTTGACAGGATTTCAGATTCCACACTGAGACTTTAAGTTCAGAAACAGCCACTTGTTGAGTTTAGTGTAGTGTCAAAGAAAACTATCCATACTTAAGTGAAGATTAAAATGCTTTTCCCTTTCCTTACCACATCTGGCATGAGGCCAGGTTTTCTTCATATCCTTCAAAACAGATGTAACAGATAGAATACCAATCAGATAAGAATCCAGCTGTTTTAATGTTAAGCCAAATTAAGCAAATTTTCAAAAATATAAAGCCATACTATTCTTGTTACTAAATTTTGTTTTGGAAAGGTATTTTATCTTTAAAAAAAGTTACTTACATTAGTGTGATGTAAATAATTTTTAAATTAATGTGATGTAACTGATTTTTTTAACTTCCCTATTTTAATTTTAATACAGAAAACAGAAACAACACACACACAAAAGTTCTTTGGAGTCTTCACTAATTTTTGAGAGTGTAAAAGTCCTAAAACAAACTTGAGAACCACTGTGTTAGGTAACATTCCTTAAAATCCAAGTGCCTTACTTCTTAGGAATTATTTAAAACAACTGATTTCATTAAAAAATAAAAACAAAATAAATAAAACTGATTTTCTTGACAGTAACAAAAGAAGGATTTAAATATTGAGTTTTCCTCTTTTCAAGGAGGTTAAGCATTTTCACAAAAGTGAAGAACAAAGTTGGAGGGAGAACCATCATTTTCTGAAGTGTTAAAGTTCTCTAAAGCCTAAATACTAGGAATTAGTCTGCTCTTTTTCAAGCCTGGAAAAGGTCAAAAAGGAATTGAGTGATACAGTAGCTACTTAATTAAAAACCACTGAATTATAAAGGAAACCATAAACAAACAAAAGGCTCCAGAAGAAAGAAATCTGAAACGTAACAAAGCTAATTTCCTTTATCCACAAAAAAGCTCTTAATGAGGGAAAAAAAGAAAAAACAGTTAAGAAAATCACATTATCAAAGGAAAACAGAGACAAACAGGAAGTTAAAAGGAAAATTACAAATGGCCAAAAATCATGTATGTTTACACACACCCCAATTTTAAACAATGAGACATGCATTGCTTTTCTGATAGTTTTAAAACATTAGCAGAAAATATAGGCGAAACTGCCATCCTCATCCTGCAGGTGGGTTCAGTAATTTGTCATTTTCAAGGGCAACTTGGCAATATCTCTTTCCTCAAACACACTGTAGTCCTCCTTCTGGTCAATATGTATAAACCTACCTCATTTTCCTTAATGGCTGAATGATAATCACTAGCAATGGTTGCATTACATTTCATCAAAACTTAATCACACATGCTTTGGGACTCAGCCATCCTTCTTTAAAGTTTATTCTCCAGATAAACTCACAAACTTACAACATAATTGAGAATACTAACTGCAGGACTGTTTAGAATATACAAAAGCCAGAAACCTGCACGTATAGTAGACAGACTAAATACACTTTGGATAAAAGGGAAAAAAATCCAGCTCAGAAATCCCTAAGGTTTTGGGCAAACTGTCCCCACCTTTACCTGCATGGTCCTTCACTCTTTGAGTTTCCCATAACTACTCCAGTCCTTTACACCTCAGGATCTTTGCAAATACTTTTATGCCTTATGCCTCCCCATCTTCACCTAACTATCTCTTTATATCCTTCAAGACTTCACTTCCTGTCACTTCTTGAGAGAAAGCTTCCCTGCTCTTCCAGGGTAGGTTCAGTTCACACTAACAGTCCCTATTTACCTCCTTGCTCACACTCACAAAGATTTGTTCAGTGTTTGACTTCCCCTCCAAATTGTGGGCTCCCTCAAGGTCGGGCTTATCTTGTTAACCAAGGCATCCAGGCCTAACAGTGAGTATATTAAATATGGTTATATTAAAGCTTGAAAACCTGGTTCTACAATCTGAAAATATTTCAGATCCATGTAGCAGGTTGAGGGAGGAACAAAATACGTTCTCACTAGCTATGCAGATTTTTCAGGCATTGTTCAACTTGACATAGAGCCCACTTTCTAAGAGGCTTGCTAGGAAGACTATCCACTTTAGACTTCTTCAATGTTAGTGAACATATCTTATCTCCCCTAGGCAGTAAGCTTTTGAGGTCAGGAACAATGTTCTCCACACCTTTGTTCCAATTCCCCTTCTGATCTAACATGATACCTTATATAAAAATCCACTAACAAATATATTCATTCAAACCAACCCAGATTCAGACAGTCTAATTATAGATTTGGGTCATATGTCATATTCATATCTGTATCAAGTTATAGGTAAACTGGATTCTAAGAGAAACTCAAGGTTAAAGCATTTTTATAGCACCAACAGATACTACCAAACCAAGATTTAATACCAAGAGATACTACCTAAAGGATTGAAGGGAAAGAATTTTTCTATTTCTGGATAGGTGTCCTCTGAGGCAGGAACAGAATCTTTTGCTTTAACAGTCTTCTCAGCCACCTAAAACAAACCAAGAAAACAGGAATTAGAGTGAAAGCCTTGTCAACTGACTAGTACAAGAGATTGTAGAGCTTCTTCAAGACATGTAACTGCTTCACCACATTTTAAGTTTTTCAATTTCATGCTGACTAAAAACCATAATCCTCAGTCCTCATAATTACATACAAACATAATTCAGCAAGCAATTCTAGTTGCATGGCTCGAAAGTTAAGTCTGAAATTTAAGTATTAGCACCTGTCAGGCTAAATTATCAAGAATGCAGAGCAGAGTTAATTCAGAGCTAATCAACTCAATCACTCAACACAGGAGAAAATAGGCATGAGTCACCCAGAATGGAAGCTAATCCCAAAAGCCACTTTTCGCTTTTGGAAGTGTGATTTTCCATTTGTGTTCCCAGCAGTGTTACCTTAATTATTTGCTTAGTTAATGTTAAAAACAACTTTGTATTGCTCAAATACACACACTGAGTAAGAGAGTCAACAAAAAACAGGGACTTTAGAAGCCCACCATGGTAATTCCCTGCTCTGGAACTGGCAGGTAGGCAGTACACATCAGTGGTAGGCCAAAACGGAAGCCTGCATATTCCTGATTTAAACTTACATCACATGTGGCTACCAAGAGGCAATCTCTATGGCAGGGTTTCCAACACATCAGTTCTATGTCACATTTAATATTTGCCATTTCCTTGAAATACTTGCATTTAACATTTCTCTTTTTTAAATTTTTTAAAAAGACATCTGTGGGGAAGTTGGGATTCCTATGGCCAGGATCCTCACTGAACTTAAACCACCTGATGATGTAACTGGCCTGTTGCTAGGCTACCGCTTCCACACCTGTAGGCAATAAGCTATTATTGCGCTATATAGAGAGCTGGCCCAGTGCTCTGGGCAGAGGCAGAGACGCTAGTACTCGGCCTACCGTGGGAGAACAAGCCAGATAATAAACCCTTTCACCACTAGAACGTTTTACTGTTATTTTCTTTGGTCACACTGAATCCATAGTAAACTTGCCCAGGGCTGAAACCCACTGGCAAGACAACATCCTTGTCTTAAAACACACAAATCTGTTTAATGTAAAGTACTAGTTGTTTTTTCCAATACGATTAAACAAAATTATTCAAATGAATCATTAATCCACATACTGGAGTAATCTTTCACAGCAAAATCCCCTGTCGGTGATGCACTGGCGTGCAGCTCATGCATACACACATATATGTCAACATACTAGCAAATTATCACCTAACAAGCTGGTGCTGGCTTTAGGAGGCCAGAATGGCAGCCCCTGAGCTAGTAACAATGTGACCTTTAGCCAACTACCCTTCTTCTCAGCACTTCATGTATCTGTAAATACACACTACCAATCAATCTGCCTCAACATTAGCTAAGGGCAGGTGAGGCAAAAATATTCACCAGTTGCTTCTGAATTCCCATCTGGCGGCACAGAGCAAGTACACAAAGACAGTATGATTCTCTTCTGCTAACCTAACATTTGCTAGCCTGTATGTCCTTCTACACCTAGGGAAGAAAGTCAGGTAGGATGCCAAGAAGCATTTTAAAGAGTAAAAAGAGCTCAAGTATTTAAACAGTGTCTTTACAGCTAACACCTACCTTTTTGGCAGAGAAGGTTGTCTGCTTCTGTTTGAAGGGCCCATTAGTCTTTACCGACTTTTCTGTAGCTCTGTTGACAGTTCCCAAAGCCTTTCTGGCCGTTTTTGGTAAAGCTGGTGGAGCATCAAACATTTTGCCAACACACGGTGTTGAAACCTGTGATCTCCCATCTAAAGCTTTTATTGCTAAAGAGAAAGTCTTACCATAAGATTATACAGGCAGTAAACATCTGTGCAACTTGAAAGTTACATAACCTTGGCCTCTCATCCCCAAATTCAACTGCACTTTTCATAACGGCATGGCCCTGTGCACAACAGTACTCCAGTTCATACCGTCTTGCATAATCTGAGTAAGGTATTAAACATAAGAGGGAAACCTATAGCAAGCACGTTGCAAGAGAAGTATTCGGTAAACTTGACTCCAACTGACCAAGTGCACTAAATGCTTCCCTCAGCTCCAGGCCACACCCCCAGTGGGTTCACAGTACCTGTGTATCTGATTGCAGCCTGTATACTTACATGACCCAGACCCCAGTTTCCCGTCCTTAAGAGCCACACGGGTGCCTGGTTCTCCATTTTCCTTATCAATAAAGATCAGAGTAGCCATTCTGGATTAGCTAGGGATGTGAAATAAGTATTAGACGCAGGGGTTGGGGAAGACGAGAGAAGCTAAAATGTAACACAGACCAAAAATCTATCCTGGGCACCTCCCGCAAAAACAAGTGCTAAGCAGAGGGAGAAGCCCCATCTTGAGTCAACAGGCACTTAATCGAGCTCTTAACTCTTGCAGTTTGCGTCAGAGGTTCTAAATTCCAGAGGAGTTGGCCGTTTGCGTGTGGTACAGGCCCTGGTACTCATCAAAACCGAACCACCAGGGCTGCGGACTCGGTCCGAGGCCGCGTCTCAGCACTATATGCGACCCCGAACCCCAGACGCCGGTCCTCAGCCCCTGCCTCCTCTTTCCTCGCCAGACGCGGCTCGCCCAACCGTTCGTGGTCTCTCCGCTCACCCACGATGGGATGGTCGGACCAAACTCACCCCAGGCCCAGCCTCGAGCGGTCGCGCCAGATTCCGCGTTTAAATCACAACTCACGCCCCTATTGGTTCACCCGCCCAGAAGGCGGGACCGGGAGGAGGCTCCCAGAAGAATCAATGGGAGGAACTTAAGCTCCCTGAGCCCCCCACCCCCGAAAGCTTTTTCCCAGGAAGTTTACAGCTCGTTACCAGGAAAGAAGAAGAAAAAAAAAAAAAGAAAGCCAACTGACATTTTGATCGTGGACTTTCAGGTCTTTTAAACCTGCTCCCCACAGAGATAGAAGGGGAGTGGATATGGTCTCCAATTCCAAGAAACAAATTATGATGACGACGATGATATCAAGATACTCTGGTTGGTTTATTTTTTTCTGGAGACACTTGAGTGGCCAAAATGTTCTTACATGAAAAGGACAGTGAAGTTCAAAAAGTCAACGCGGGGTGGCAACAGACTATTTTCCTGAAGTCTTTAACTAATCAGCTATCCTCTAGAGAATAAACAGATCAGATCAAATTTTTCTTAAAATGCAGCACTGGAGGAAGGTATTGTAGTCATCCGGAAAATGAGGAAAAATGGATACATAATAGTTCTATTGCAATTAGAAATACCAGAAAAATACTTCTTTAGTCAGGTGGGGAAAACAACCCATACTGAGTCAAAAGAACGCTAGCAGGTCAGAATTAATATTTAATAAGAAATACAAATACAGAGAGATCAAACAGCAGTGTGTGAGTCATTCTGCTGTGCTTGTGATTAAGAACGAACTGATTATTCCCTAATTGCAGGACTACCCTCAACATTTTATGCTAAGATGCTGTCTTCTATAGCATCATGAATCTGGCTTAGAAACAAAATGATGAACCTAATGAACACATAATCCAGGCTGCCTTTATTCTATCATTCAATAAGGACTTACTTTAAACTTCTAACATCCCAACAATATATTCATCTAAGCTGCATGTAAGGCCTAATGATAGAGGGCAGAAGGGCTAACAAGAGAAGATTACTAGAACGTTTTACTGTTATTTTCTTTGGTCACACTGAATCCATAGTAAACTTGCCCAGGGCTGAAACCCACTGGCAAGACAACATCCTTGTCTTAAAACACACAAATCTGTTTAATGTAAAGTACTAGTTGTTTTTTCCAATACGATTAAACAAAATTATTCAAATGAATCATTAATCCACATACTGGAGTAATCTTTCACAGCAAAATCCCCTGTCGGTGATGCACTGGCGTGCAGCTCATGCATACACACATATATGTCAACATACTAGCAAATTATCACCTAACAAGCTGGTGCTGGCTTTAGGAGGCCAGAATGGCAGCCCCTGAGCTAGTAACAATGTGACCTTTAGCCAACTACCCTCCTTCTCAGCACTTCATGTATCTGTAAATACACACTACCAATCAATCTGCCTCAACATTAGCTAAGGGCAGGTGAGGCAAAAATATTCACCAGTTGCTTCTGAATTCCCATCTGGCGGCACAGAGCAAGTACACAAAGACAGTATGATTCTCTTCTGCTAACCTAACATTTGCTAGCCTGTATGTCCTTCTACACCTAGGGAAGAAAGTCAGGTAGGATGCCAAGAAGCATTTTAAAGAGTAAAAAGAGCTCAAGTATTTAAACAGTGTCTTTACAGCTAACACCTACCTTTTTGGCAGAGAAGGTTGTCTGCTTCTGTTTGAAGGGCCCATTAGTCTTTACCGACTTTTCTGTAGCTCTGTTGACAGTTCCCAAAGCCTTTCTGGCCGTTTTTGGTAAAGCTGGTGGAGCATCAAACATTTTGCCAACACACGGTGTTGAAACCTGTGATCTCCCATCTAAAGCTTTTATTGCTAAAGAGAAAGTCTTACCATAAGATTATACAGGCAGTAAACATCTGTGCAACTTGAAAGTTACATAACCTTGGCCTCTCATCCCCAAATTCAACTGCACTTTTCATAACGGCATGGCCCTGTGCACAACAGTACTCCAGTTCATACCGTCTTGCATAATCTGAGTAAGGTATTAAACATAAGAGGGAAACCTATAGCAAGCACGTTGCAAGAGAAGTATTCGGTAAACTTGACTCCAACTGACCAAGTGCACTAAATGCTTCCCTCAGCTCCAGGCCACACCCCCAGTGGGTTCACAGTACCTGTGTATCTGATTGCAGCCTGTATACTTACATGACCCAGACCCCAGTTTCCCGTCCTTAAGAGCCACACGGGTGCCTGGTTCTCCATTTTCCTTATCAATAAAGATCAGAGTAGCCATTCTGGATTAGCTAGGGATGTGAAATAAGTATTAGACGCAGGGGTTGGGGAAGACGAGAGAAGCTAAAATGTAACACAGACCAAAAATCTATCCTGGGCACCTCCCGCAAAAACAAGTGCTAAGCAGAGGGAGAAGCCCCATCTTGAGTCAACAGGCACTTAATCGAGCTCTTAACTCTTGCAGTTTGCGTCAGAGGTTCTAAATTCCAGAGGAGTTGGCCGTTTGCGTGTGGTACAGGCCCTGGTACTCATCAAAACCGAACCACCAGGGCTGCGGACTCGGTCCGAGGCCGCGTCTCAGCACTATATGCGACCCCGAACCCCAGACGCCGGTCCTCAGCCCCTGCCTCCTCTTTCCTCGCCAGACGCGGCTCGCCCAACCGTTCGTGGTCTCTCCGCTCACCCACGATGGGATGGTCGGACCAAACTCACCCCAGGCCCAGCCTCGAGCGGTCGCGCCAGATTCCGCGTTTAAATCACAACTCACGCCCCTATTGGTTCACCCGCCCAGAAGGCGGGACCGGGAGGAGGCTCCCAGAAGAATCAATGGGAGGAACTTAAGCTCCCTGAGCCCCCCACCCCCGAAAGCTTTTTCCCAGGAAGTTTACAGCTCGTTACCAGGAAAGAAGAAGAAAAAAAAAAAAGAAAGCCAACTGACATTTTGATCGTGGACTTTCAGGTCTTTTAAACCTGCTCCCCACAGAGATAGAAGGGGAGTGGATATGGTCTCCAATTCCAAGAAACAAATTATGATGACGACGATGATATCAAGATACTCTGGTTGGTTTATTTTTTTCTGGAGACACTTGAGTGGCCAAAATGTTCTTACATGAAAAGGACAGTGAAGTTCAAAAAGTCAACGCGGGGTGGCAACAGACTATTTTCCTGAAGTCTTTAACTAATCAGCTATCCTCTAGAGAATAAACAGATCAGATCAAATTTTTCTTAAAATGCAGCACTGGAGGAAGGTATTGTAGTCATCCGGAAAATGAGGAAAAATGGATACATAATAGTTCTATTGCAATTAGAAATACCAGAAAAATACTTCTTTAGTCAGGTGGGGAAAACAACCCATACTGAGTCAAAAGAACGCTAGCAGGTCAGAATTAATATTTAATAAGAAATACAAATACAGAGAGATCAAACAGCAGTGTGTGAGTCATTCTGCTGTGCTTGTGATTAAGAACGAACTGATTATTCCCTAATTGCAGGACTACCCTCAACATTTTATGCTAAGATGCTGTCTTCTATAGCATCATGAATCTGGCTTAGAAACAAAATGATGAACCTAATGAACACATAATCCAGGCTGCCTTTATTCTATCATTCAATAAGGACTTACTTTAAACTTCTAACATCCCAACAATATATTCATCTAAGCTGCATGTAAGGCCTAATGATAGAGGGCAGAAGGGCTAACAAGAGAAGATTAGATAAATAATAAAGATAAAGAAAAGGAATTCCAATTTCAAGTTATCAGGAGAAATTATGCTTGAAAAAGTTGATGCTCTTTTCCAATTGTATAGTAACTGGAAATATACTGAATAAATACAAGGTAAAAGTAAATTCAAAAGACCAAGGTTAACCTGTGCCATAGAAACTGTACTTCCCACAGGTCACCAGGAACACTTTAACCTGCAGGTAAATTAAGAGAGAGGAGTTGAGCCTACATTACTTTTTCACACTGCACCTTGAATAGACATGGTTCTCAATATACACGAGTTCATTGACCTTCTTCCCTGGTATTTAGAACCAAAATTGATTAATTCATTCAACATATTTATTGAATGCTTATTAAATACTAGAAACTGTGCCAGACATCAAGAAGATCCTCACTCAAGGTGAAGAGAAAAAAATGCATACATTACTGACCTTTCCCCATCCTTTTCCATTCCCTCTTCTCCCCTTATTTTCTCTTTATCTCCTCCTAAATGTCTCAGCTCCCTATTACATCATCAGCACACAAAAGTGCTCACTTTGAAACCAAATCTCTACACCACCACCAAGTGCGGATTCTCTATCTCCTGAGGTCTTTGGTTGCAAGGTTTCTATCTCTCTTAGATAAGTCTTCCCCTTAAAACAGGAAGCAGTGTGTCTCCAAAAGTCCTGCGATAACTATAAAATGCCATGGTAACTCCCTCTTAGTGACCAAGTGTTTTTCTAACCAATGATACACCAGACTCACTTTGCTATTCCCAACTATTACTGCGTTACCCAATTGCTAAACCACCCTCACCTCATTAACAGGACCTAAATCCTAATCAATCCCAGTCTATCCTAATCCCGATTTACAAATAGGAACCCATCCAGAACTGATCCCTACTTACCTTGACCCTCTTCAGAATCCTCCAGAGGGCACCTAAACCTTACAAACGATTCTCCCCTCTTGCTCAACACTGTATGTGATTCTTCTGGGAGATGGGCTCCCTGGCTTGTGCCTGGTGGTTTTAACTAAATAGGCCTCAACACTTCCAAACAAATTTCAGAAACTGTTATAAAGAGATAAAAACACGGTGTGGGTGATTCATAGAGTACTCGCTTTCAGGCTATTTGCATTCTTTCATCGATTGCCCTGTAAAAATTGGCAATGTATGTTCCTAAATTCTGACACTGCGAATTCTTAGTAAGAAAAATATTAGGTTATATATTATGATGGGTTCTCCTTTTGGGGCAAAGATGTTAGCTGCCTTCACTTTCACATTTGAGAGGAATACATGTTATTTTAAAAAATAAAATATGACCAAAACAGATAACTATAGAAAAAAAAATCACAGGAAATCTAACTAAAATTACTGCTCATTTTCCAGTATTTTATTTCATATGATTACTTTAAGAGGAGGGTTGGGATGTCACTGATACGATTGTTTTCCCCAAATGGAACTCGTTTTATAGCATTTTTTTTTCCTAAGGATAAAATTAAAAATCAGTTCAGGGAGAGGTGTCACAATTACCAAAAGTGCACCTGGTATTCCTTTCATACCGATTTTCTACAACTGTAAATTATTTGAATCATTTTAGTGTTACTTGGTCTAACGGAAACTCGAGAGAAGTTTGTGTTTACCAAGTCCGTGTTACACAGGATCTGGGTTCTAATACTAATTTTAATTGCTTTTTTAACTTAATGCGTCACGAACTTACCCATTCATTTCATAGTGCTTTAGCGAGGCTTAAGCTGTTGTCTGTTCTCCGTTCTTTTTTTTTTTTTAACGTTCTAAAACGCGATTCTAAAAGAAAGAGTTCAAAAGTAGCCTCCGAAAACAAGCCGCCGAAATTTAAGCCCTCTCACTGATGCAGCGTTAACAGCTCAAGACCTCGCGAGACCAACGTCACGGGCACCTGGCAACCCAGAGATTTGTTAGTGCGCATGTGTCGATCGTCCGGAAGGTGCCGCAGTGGCTACCGGGAAAGGGAGGAAAGCCAGGAAGTAAACATTGACTGACTGACTTTGTTTTTGCCGGGTGGTTTTGGGGTCAGCAGCAGTGGGACTCGGTGAGGAACTATTGTGAGTTTGACGGGACGCGGGGGACGAGCAGGAGGTCTGGAAAATCCTGGAAAGTAGGCTGAAGCTCCTAATTCTTAGATACATCCTCACGGAGGTGATGAACACTACGTTGAGAGGGGAACGGGGACCGGGGACGGGGAAGGAAGCCGTCGTTCTAGGCCTCAGACACAGGGCTTGTATCCAGCTAGACCAGGACTGTGCCTTCAGTGGCCTTTAGAGTAAAGATCGTAAGATGATTGGAGTTGCATCGCCTAATATGATAGCTCTTTACTACTTGTGCCTTTTAAGTATTTGAATATGGCTTGTCAGAATAAGTGTAAAATTTGTATCATATTGTAAAGACTTAGTTAATTGTGTTATTAGGATGTACTTTTGATGGCTTTACTGATGAATTCGTGAAGTCCTCGTTTATGTTAATATGTTTTTCCCCTTCATTGAGGAGTCCATATAACCATGTCGGCGGCAGCTGTGGAAGCAGGTAATGCCGTCCCTCTGTCGGGGTCCAAAGAAATGAGTTTAGAGGAACCAAAGAAGATGACCAGAGAAGACTGGAGAAAGAAGAAGGAGCTGGAAGAACAGCGAAAGCTGGGTAATGCTCCTGCAGAAGTTGATGAAGAAGGAAAGTAAGTACTTCAATTTTTTGTATGGTCTGTTCATTGACAATTCAAATTGATGTGTGCTTAGCTTATCAGCCTCTCATCCCTCGCTTTAACAGCAAGTTGTCTTTACCATTTATATGATTTTTCTACTAATTATTTATCAGACTCGTGTGTAAGATTTAGTAATCCAAAATATTGAAAGGCTGAGAATTGACCGGTGGTTACCATGGGGGAGGGGTTGGGGTAAGTGAGTGAAATAGGTTAAGAGATTAAGAGGCACAAAATCTCAATCATAATATAAACTAGTCACGGAATGAAAGTACAGCATAGAGAATATAGCCAGTTCTGTAACATCTTTCTATGTTGACAGTAACTACACTAGTTGGGGTGAGCATTTAACTGTTGAATCACTATGTTGTATACTTGAAACCAATATAATATTGTATATCAGCTATACATCAGTAAAAAAAATAACAAAAAAATCCTTGAAGGGCTTATCATTACAAGCAGCATCAATAGCAGTAATATATTCAACCCTTCCCACTCCCTGGCCCACTCTACAAAAGTGACTACTTTTCACTCTTTCTATTTTGAGTTTTTCTGGTTGGTAGCCTCCACATCTCTAAATAATTTTTTTTTAATATTTAATTTTTTTAATAGTTTAATCAACTCTAGACAGTATTAGTTAACTTCTTGCTCATAGAAGATTTATCTCACTAACACACATCCCTGTCTTCTTTCATCTCTCCTCCCCCTTCAGTTACGTCACTCTTCTTAGTTTCTATGTTGGGGGTTTTTTCATTCCAATATAAATTACTTTATTTTTTATTGTGATTCTGTTACAGAGATAGCAAGCATATTCTCTTTCCCCTGTCCCACTGCAATGCCTCTGTTTCTAAATTCTGTGTAGACTACATTTGTAATTGTAATATACATTATTTTCAAACTTTATTCTTAAAAACCATTTTTTTTTAATTACAGAGACATCAACCCTCATATTCCTCAGTATATTTCTTCAGTGCCATGGTATATCGATCCATCAAAAAGACCTACTTTAAAGCACCAGAGACCACAACCAGAGAAACAAAAGCAGTACAGTTCATCTGGCGAATGGTACAAGAGAGGTGTAAAAGAGGTATGTAGGCAACCTATGTATATCTTTGTGGAAATGGAGATTTTATTTTAAAAACTTAATGTAAGAACCTTTACTGTAATACTATATAAAGTAGAAAACAGATTATATAATCTTTTATCTGGTATTAATATTCACAATACATATATTTAGGTTGTGTTTTGTTTTTAATAAATTTTATGGTGCTGAAGTCTTCAAACTTTTCATATCTATAAAAGTGTAGAGACTTAATTGGTTTTCCTCTTAATGAGTGAATCATTTCACTAGACAATATAGTAATGAGACCCAAAGTTATTTCTAACTTATTAAGATAAATTAAACATTTTCTTTGTTTTTTCTTTATATCCATTTATAGAATTCTGTAACAACCAAATATCGCAAAGGAGCTTGTGAAAACTGTGGGGCCATGACACACAAAAAGAAGGACTGCTTTGAGGTAAGTTCAACTTTGAGAATTTTAGAAACTGTTGTCAGAGAGTCTCTTTCTTTTTTTCCTTGTCAGAGAGTTTAATTCTGTTATTCTAAAATTGCCTAAATTCTGTTAGAAGTTAAATAAAAATTAATTTGACTGAAATTAGGACCATCAAAATTTTCTGCTGTAAGACTAACTGATAATTAAATAGATCACAAAGTCCCACACTTACTGTGTAAATGTTATATGAAATTTTCCTCTGGGTTATAGTTAGATACTTAGGAAAAGATTAATCTTACTCTATTTCCCAGAGACCTAGGCGAGTTGGAGCAAAATTTACAGGTACTAATATAGCTGCAGATGAACATTTCCAGCCTCAGCTGATGTTTGACTATGATGGGAAGAGGGATCGGTGGAATGGCTACAATCCAGAAGAACACATGAAAATTGTTGAAGAATATGCCAAAGTTGATTTGGTGAGCAAAATCCCTGGCTTTCCTACACTACTTAAAGAAAGTACATTTTTCTGTATCACTAACTTAGCAATTCTGTTTTTTGAGTCTTCAAGCAGTATAAAAATGGTTGCATTTTTATTACAGTAGTAGAAGTAAGCCTGATGGAATAGTAAAAATAAACAGTGTGCTAGCCCTGTTTGAAAGTTTCTTTATACTTGATTCTTGTATTGTCCTATACTCCTCGACTGAGAGGACAGAAAATATTAAAAACATGAGAACAGATTAGTATCTAAAGCTTTTGGCTTCTTGAGGTTATAACTCTTGGCCTCCACACTATTTCTTGCCCATGGGCCTATTTTACAATTGTGTCACATAGCATTTGAGAGTAGTGGATAGTGAATAGGATTATGCATTTCAGAAAATTGAATTTTATTTTAATTCAATCTCAGTTTTTAACTCACCCCCTATCCTTGAAAACCATAGTCATACTGCCTTTTTTTTTTTAAGTAGAGTTAACACTAAAAACATCATGAGATTTCCCATCATTTGAATTCCATCTGTTCTTGAGCAATGAAATATATGGATATGCTGGGCCTCCCTGGCAAGAGTCAGTCACTTGGAATGTGACACTGGGCTTGTGTGCTGCAGTTTATCACTTGGTGTTATCTGGCTCCATTTGCAGTAATGCCTGGTTCAGACAGGAGTTTGTAGTTCCTGTTCTTTAGAGACCCATACGTCTATAGAGTTACAAGAAATCTCAAGAGATGACCTTATCTAATGACCTTTTCTAAAAACAATAAACTGACTCATTTTAAATACATAAACTAAATGTTCATTTGAATATCATAAGTAAATTTTCAAATGTTTCTTTCCTTGTCAGGCAAAACGAACACTGAAAGCCCAGAAACTCCAAGAAGAATTAGCCTCAGGAAAATTAGTGGAACAGGCTGTAAGTAATAAAAATTATCGATAAAAAAATTTCAAACTCTTAGTAAACAACAATGGAAATTGAAATAAGAATTCATTTTTTCTCTCTCTACTTAGAAAAGATTTGAAGGGAAAAACAAAACTCGCACTTTTATACCATTCATAGGAATATAAATTGGTTCAGTCGTTTTAGAAAGAATATTACCATAAAATATTTATATACTTTTTCTGGAATTGAATTTGTAGATCCATCCACCCTACAGAATTTTCTAGTAATCTGAAAAGTCATTGTGCAAAAGATATTCATGATAGCACTTTTTACAATAGCAAGAAATTGAAATATCTTAAACATTCAGGAATAGGGAATTGGTGAATTAAATTATCCTGTGTCTGCATGATCAAATGTTGCATAGCTTTTACAATGGCTTTTATCAAGACTTTGTAACAACATCAGATAACACATTTTAATAACACATGAAAAAATATTATTATTACATAGGAAAAAAGACCAGAATGCCAGTTCTCATTTAATGTAGAAGTAATTAGTTTTTCTTTGTATTCTATTCTTTTTAGTATTTTCCACAGTATTTCAAATGAATGTGCAATCATTTTAGAGTTGGGTAAAACATTTTTCATAGTAAAAGATGTATTGCAGCCAATTTTTTTCCTTTTAAATTCATGTCAGCATAATACTTAACATATACTGTGCTTATTAAAGTTGTAAAGTTTTCTTTATAACAAATTCATGACAAAAAAAATAATTTGGAGTTCAAATTCCTAAAAGGGACTCTTAGCAAGGATGAATTGCAAATATAAGTAAGTAAGTAATGACCAAGGAAGTAGTCACTGAGGCCACCTATCAGGCAGGTTAACAGCACAAGCTAGCAGGTAGATGTTAATATCCAGCTTTGCCCCTGGCTATTTAAGTGTTCCTAGAAAAATTAATTTGCCTCACTGAGCCTCAGTTTATCATCTTTTAGAGATAACAACACCCACCCCCCAAGAAGGGTTAGTATACATATTACACAGTAAAAACTTGTCAGTTGGCACTAATTATTGGGATTACTGTTAATTATTGCCAATTTTAGAAAACAGAGAAGAGCCCATTTTTCTTTTTCTCATATAGTCTTTTTTATTTGCTGTAAAATAGCGTAATTTATTTCCCTAGTAATTATACTTAACTGTATCTAGGGGACTGATGGTTTTTGCCCACTTGGATACTTGGATATTAAGATAAACCACATATAGTAGAGCAGTCTCTGCTATAGAGATTTAGCTGAATATATAGCGAAATAAATGCCTTTTTTTGAACTAGCAACTTGTGAGAACTCCAAAACAACTTTTTAAAAAAGTTCTGATTTTGAAAGTAACACATACTCAGTGAAAAAAAATTTAAAAAGTTATAGAGAAATTAAATACTGACTGTTAATTATTAACATTTTGATGTAGGCTTTTCCAGGTCCCACTCCACGCCCCACATGTATCTATATATGTGTAATTATAATACATGTTGTTACATGGTATCATTGGTACATACTTGGTTATCACCTACTCTTTCAATTAAATAATATATAGCACAATGAGGACTTGTTTTCTGTGTCATTAAATATAGACTTATTTATTTTTATAAAATTCACATGGTTCAAAACTCAAAACAGTTAAAAGTTATCCCTCCCTCTCTCCATCCTCCGAATCTTTAAACCTCATCCCCTCATAACCTTTCTTATTTTTCTTGTAAATCCTGTTCAGTTTCTTATGTAAATATAAATAAATAAATAATGTTAGTCCCATCTTTTCTTTCCCTTCCTTTTTTTCAACAAAAAGAATGTAGCAAATTATACATGTATTTTTACATCTTGTGTAGAATCACTGTTAATGGTCATTGAGTGCTCATTGAGTGTAGTAATGTTTATAACCTTTATCTGTTAATTTGATTTTTTCCCATGTTTTTGATATTATATACAACACTGTAAATCACATTCTTGTACACAACCTCTTTATATAACTGACATATTATATCCTTAGGATAAATTCCTTAAAGTATAATTGTTGATGCAGTGAATATGTATATTTAAAATTTTGATGACATATCACTTAGCTGCCATTCAGAAAGGCTATACAAATTTATACTGCCACCAGTATGCTATATATATGTATATATTCCAACACACACACACACACACACACACATTTCCACATCTCCCCACTAATGCTTTAAGGTATTTTTTTTTAACCTTTGAAGTCTTTTTAAAGGGACATAAATACTACTTGCTATAAGGGTTTTGTGGAAAATCCTAATCAACTCCTAAAGAAGAAAGAGTGTCTTTATGATAAGAATTTCAGACTCTCCTTAAGTCATAATATGGTGTCACTTGAGTAGATTTCTTCATGGCCTAGATTTTACAAAGGTTGTTTTGGCTCTAAAGATATTATGATTACAGTAACATTTTCTTCTTGGATTTGATAGAAAACTATAGTGAGGTTTAATGAAAATGGCATGTCTAAAGGTTAATGCACAGCAAAGAAGATTTATTGGGGATGTTGGTAATCCTAAACTTCCTATTGCTTTTATGTGATTATAATCCTATATCATTAAAAGTTCTCTAGAAATTTTCTGACTTTGTAGACAGTGTAATAAAATTAGCTATCCACAATGACATACTTGTTTTCAGAACTTATATGCTTATTACAAGTGAGAAGTATGAGAATTTGTCAAGTTAGGTCTAACTTACATTATTTTAACTATGTATTTAAAGTATTATATAATCAGTGGATTCAGTGGAATAAAATTATAAATTCATTTCCTTCTTTCATAATGCAGAATTCTCCAAAACACCAGTGGGGAGAAGAGGAACCAAATTCCCAGACGGTAATAAATATTTGCCCTATCTAGGTATACATTAAAATTTTTTATTTTTGATAGCTAATATTAATAATAATAGCTTTAAAGAACACAATAAAAGTTTGATTGAAAAGAAAGCAAGAACTAGATGCTCCTCTTTTATAATTTTCTTTTCCATCTCCCCCTTCCGTCTTTCAGGAAAAAGATCATAATAGCGAAGATGAGGATGAAGATAAATATGCAGATGATATTGACATGCCTGGACAGAACTTTGACTCTAAGAGACGAATTACTGTCCGGAATCTCAGGATTCGAGAAGATATTGCAAAAGTATGCCTTACCAATATAATATACACATTCAAAAAATATTTTTCTCCCCAGCCTAAATTTTATCTGCTCTTCTGGTATCTGAGCAGTATGTAGGTAAGAATCATTCATTCCATTATGTATCACTCTGGTGTTTTTCTTCATCTTTACCCCAGAAATACATATACGCATCTAGTTAATCATGGTTAACTCCTCCTACTAGTCTGCTGAGATCTTTGTTGATAGAAGGAAACATTAATACAGTCTTAAAACATTTTTCTCTTCTAGTATTTGCGGAATTTAGATCCAAATTCTGCTTACTATGACCCCAAGACGAGAGCAATGAGGGAAAATCCCTATGCCAATGCAGGAAAGAATCCAGATGAGTAAGTATCAGGTTAAATGTACACATTTAAGTTGGGGTGGAGGGGAGTTTTTAATTGAAAAATTGAATCTGAATTAGAATGAACATCATCTATGGTTGGGTGAGAAAAGAATTAACTTTCTTTAAAGAAATGGGTCTCAGCAACAATTTGTTTTTTAAATTTTTTATTTACAGAGTGAGCTATGCGGGAGATAACTTTGTTAGATACACAGGAGATACCATTTCAATGGCTCAGACACAGTGTAAGTGTTTGCTCTTTTATATAAAATACAAATTTTTTTATAACAGCTCATAAGAAATTTGGCATATTTTTAAAGCTTGTTTTCAAGAAGCATGCAATAAATGTAGCTGGCAACTCATTAAGATGTTTAAAATTACTCCAGTGTTTGCTTGGGAAGCCTATGACAAGGGATCTGAAGTGCATCTGCAGGCTGATCCTACAAAACTAGAGCTGTTGTATAAGTCTTTCAAAGTCAAAAAAGAAGACTTCAAAGAACAGCAGAAAGAAAGCATCCTGGAAAAGGTAATTTTGACCAAAATGCTAAAAAATGTTTCTTAAAGAGAAATTACCAGTTAGTAAACGTTTGAATACATTTGGAATACAATACGCAGAATCCCTTTTAATTAATCAAGGGTAGTCCTTTCCTTCCATTGACTTAATCAGTTGGTATGCTGTATCAGTATAGCTGTTATCAGTGAGCATTTGCAGCAAAACAAACCATCTCAAAACTTAGTAGTTTAAAATAAACATTTGTGGTTTCTCACAATTCTGTATGTCAACTGGGTCTCCTGGTCTGGGCCTGCCCATCTGAGGCTGGATGATCTAAGACAGCCTCACTCTGGTTTCTAACAGTTAGCAGGTTAATTGTCCTAAGAGACAGCTCATCTCTGCCCCACCTGTGCCCTCATCTCTGACAGGGTAGTCCAGCTTCCTTACATGGCATTCTCAGGATACCAGACACTAGTAATAGAGTGTATGCCCCAGTGCACAAGTGCTTCCCAGTTCCTGGGCCTTTGCTTGTATCACATTTGCCAGTTTCCTTTAGGAGCAAGTAACTTGACCAGGCCCAGATTCAAGGGGTGGAGAAACAGACCATCTTTTGAGGGGGGAGCAGCAAAGTCATGTGGCAAATGAGTATGCATACAAGAATAAGAGAAATTTATGGCCATTTTGTAATCTCTCACACACAATAGATGATTAGTAATTGAGGCATCTTATATTTGCCTGTGAAAATTGGATGACTTTTTTTTCCACTTGCTTTGTATAGCAAAGCCCATAAAGAATATTCCTTTATTTTTGCTGTAAATCTTTGCTGTAAAATATATTTAATAATGTTCAATATCCTTTTAGTACGGTGGCCAGGAACACTTGGATGCCCCTCCAGCTGAATTGCTGTTAGCTCAGACTGAAGACTATGTGGAATACTCAAGACATGGGACAGTCATCAAAGGGCAGGAGCGGGCTGTTGCCTGCTCCAAGTATGAGGAGGATGTGAAGATCCACAACCACACAGTATGTGTTAAACTAGAACAGTTTGTGTCCTTGTTAGCATTTTGCTCTGTTTTTTATTTCAATTCATTAGTGAATTGTGCTTTCTTTTTAACATTTTGATTTTGTTTCATGAAATTTTTCCAAAAGTAGGAAAAATATGAAAAAATACTATTGCATTCTTCCATATACTCACCACCTAGTTTCAAAAAATGTTTACATGTTGCCACATACCCCTGTCTAAATGTGTGTGCACATACACGTACTAATACATACTTTTTATTCATACGTTCTAAGTTTTGAAAATTACAGATGTTGTGACGTTTTACCCATGGACACTATACCATGTATCTCCTAAAATTAAGGATATTCTCCTGTGTAACATCATTACCATTATCTCACTTTAGAAAATTGTCCCTCCTTAATATCATATAATCTCTAGTCCTTAGTCACATTTTCCAAAGTATACCCCAAAAGGCCTTTATATATGTGTTTGTTTTTTGTTCAAAGTCAGAATCCAATCAGAGTTTTTGATTCTTACTCAGTTGTTGTCTCATTTTCCTAGAGTATCTCTCCCCTTTTTCATGACAGTGACTCTTAACAGCTCAAACGAACTATCTTATAAACTGTCTGATATTCTGTATTTGACTGGTTCCTAGTAATATCATATAACTTATTCCTATGCCTTACATTTCTGTTATTCTGGAGTCAGGTCTAAAATTTTGATTAGCTATAAGTGAAGTATTTTGACAAGAACACTTCATAGGTGATGCAGTGTATTTCATATTCCATCGCATCATAAAGCATCTAATGTCACTGGCTGTATTCATGCAGTACCCACACTGCAGTTGTCTCTCTAAGTTAGAGGTAAAAAACCTAACTACCTTCAGGAGCCAGGCCACTAATCATACATGAGTGAAGTGAGCCAGGCAGATTGTACCAACTAAAGAACACAAACCCTGTCTAAAAGGGGCATTCACTGTCACTAAAAAGCAACAGCCAGTTCTTGCCAAATGGGAATGTGGGCCTAGAGTTTGTCAGAAAATTAATTTTTCAAGACAAGTCAGATATTTTCAATTTTTTTATAGGTTTTTAGGAATAGAATGTAAGACCATTATAATTTAATGCCTGCTTCTCCTACTTGAGATCTGGCCATCCTTTCTCTGTCAACTAGCTCTGGAATCCCTGTGCTACCCATACCAACAGAATTTGAGTCCCTAGTTTGGGTTTTTGGGGTTTTTTTTTTTAAGTAACAATTTTTTCTTTATGCAGCATATCTGGGGATCTTACTGGAAGGAAGGCCGATGGGGATACAAATGTTGTCACTCTTTTTTCAAGTATTCCTATTGTACTGGAGATTCTGGGAAGGAGATTGATGTAAGTAATTGTCCTCTAGTTCTTATGAGTATAAAACAAAGCTAAAAGTAAATATCTGTGTGAAACATATCTCTCTAGCTTTTTCTTAGTTGATTAGTAACTATGATACTCAAGTCAAATTACATATATTTTCCCACAGAATTCAGAGGAATGTGTTATAAATGATATAACTGGAGAGGAGTCTGTGAAAAAACCTCAAACTCTAATGGAGGTATGTCTGTAATCATCTGAATTTTTTAGCTCTGGAGGGAGGACTTTAAATTGTACACTAGAGCTTTGTTTTTATATTAATACTCAATTCAATCCTTCCTGTCAGATGCATCAGGAAAAACTAAAAGAGGAGAAAAAGAAAAAGAAGAAAAAGAAGAAGCATAGAAAGAGCAGTTCAGATAGTGATGAAGAAGAAAAGAAACATGAAAAATTGAAAAAGGTACTTAGTGAAGTTTAAATAGTAAAAGTGACAACAGAATTCTCTATTTGTAAGGACCCTTGGGAAATAGTCTATCTCCAAGCTCTTTTTTAAAATGAGGAAATGATCCCCAAATCTGGGTAATTTGCTCAAGTAACCTTGTTTCAGGTCTGGAATGTAAATGGAGATTTTGTGTCTCAGTATTGCCTCCTTCTTGGAATGTTTGATAAATATCACTAATGCATAGAAGAAATGTGCTTTGTAAAGCTATTATTTTAGAGTTACTGATGTGTTGCCCAGAAAGAATTTCATTCTAGCTCTTTAATTTTTAAGTTTCAGCAAGTCCTTGGGGAAAGTCAGAATTGCAGTCTCCACCAAAATTAAGTGGCAGGCTTCTGTCAGTAAAGTGAACCTCATTGAATTTTTGTTAATTAAATAAAATTTCTTTAGCACTGAAAATGTCATAGAATGTTTTGTATTCTATGAAAATATCATGAGCAAAATAGTAAGTAGTTCCATGAGGGCTAACCCCCAAGCTCTTTCAGGCAATCTAGGTTTTTGATGTGGCAATTCATATCCAGTGGGGTCTTTTGGAGCTCTGCCACTTGAACAAAGGAGATTCGATGCAGAACTGTGATACGTTTTTCCTCTCACTATAGGCACTAAATGCAGAGGAAGCCCGCCTTCTTCATGTCAAGGAGATTATGCAGATTGATGAGAGGAAGCGGCCTTACAATAGCATGTATGAAACTCGGGAACCCACTGAAGAAGAGATGGAGGCCTATAGAATGAAACGTCAAAGACCAGATGACCCAATGGCCTCCTTTCTTGGACAGTAGTGACTAGTCATTGGCAGTAACCAAGACAGACACAGCAAAATGTTTTTCATCTTCCTGATGATTCTTAATGGAACAGTCCATGTCTATGCCTCTTGCTGCCTGACTTTAATAAAGCTTCCAGAAGTCTCATGGTAAAATAATTTCTTTCCTAATGAAGAAACAAAGAAGAAAAACAAAGAGGAGGTACATTAAGTGCAGGTTAAGATTTTTATTTCCAGTTTTATATTAGTGATGTGTAAAGAGGCCTTGACTCTCTACCTAGCAAGAATGTCTTCTACTCAGCATTTATTAAGTCTCAGGTTTTATCTCCTCACTTTTTATCTAGTGTTCGCACACATTTTAAAGGCAGATGAGTTATTCTTTCTCAAACCCAGGGCTTCATTTTCTAAATTACTGCTAACTATAATTAGAGTTACTTGATAATCATTTGTTTTTGTCTTCTGAGATTTTCCTAGTCTGAAGCTAAAAAAAATTATTCTATCTTGGGCTTTTGGTTACTGAAAGAAAATCTGTAGAATATGTAAATAACTTTATCCCCCATGTCAATCTGTATAGTGATAATCCTGTTTTACACTTGATTATAAAATACTGGTATTTAAAATATTTCCTTGTACCTTACCACCCAGAACTAAATGGGTTAAACACCTTTGAATGGAAAAATAACTATTTTGGTATCCTTGAGTCACTGTCAGTTGATCAGTGCTAGGTCTTTTACCATTCTGGACATGAGCCTTTAGACACAGAAATGCTTTCCTTTATCATACAGGACATACTTTGTAATGTTATTTGTTGTTTTAATTATGGTTGCCTTTATGTAACAATCATGAATATTAGATTCTAAAGGATTGTAGAAAATCTGTTTTATCTCCTCTTTATAGCCAGTAGGTATTGCTTTGTAAAATTTGCAAAAAGCAAAATCTGATGACAAAGGTTTCTTTAAAGAATTACAAGGACAGTTTGTAGGGCTTTTGGTAACTGAGATTGCCACGATCCCCAGGCCTCTAAGAATGCCGTGAAGATAATACTTATAGTGAGAGTGGGATCATTGAAAAGATCCTGTTTAAAACCGTAGCGTAAGTATACTGACTTTTAACAGCTTACTGGCTTTGCTGGGCTACCAAGCACACTAGAATTCTGTATTGTTAGCATCTCAAAAATAGTGCTGATGGGAGAGTAGTTGAATCAGATTGTCAGGTACTATGGTGCACATGGTGTCTAGACTCACGTATGAAATTGAGGTAGCAATGCAAGCTAATTCTTACCTACTTTAATAATGTCAAAAATTTGTTTTCATATTCCTACCTTAACATAGGTTCAGCATAAAGTCTGACATTGGTGTCTATTTTGTATTTTATTTATCTTTTGTTAATAAAGATACATAATTGAGAATACGTAACTGTGAGTAGCTGATAGCATTATTTCAAATATTTGTCAGAAAAGTGGTTTATAGTACTGGCAGAGGGAGTTAATTTCATGAGCTTCAATTAGAAAATTTAAGGATCCTTTAACTCAAAAAACATGTCTCCTGACTTTTCTGAGTCTCTACTCTCTTCTGTGAAACCTAATTTACTCCAATTCTAGGGCAAACTCTAGAAGAATACCTAAAATCATATCTTATCACTTTCATTTTGAAAGAAAAAAAACATCTCAAAGGATACTCAAGATATTAGCTTTGATTTTGTTATCTCAATCAAAAATAGCTGCCTTTTTGAGTTCTGGAACTATGTGCTTTAATTTATTATTATGTTATCTCTGCAAAACAATGGGGTGAGTAATTGATGATATCTACTATTTTGCAATAAGCACATGGGCTTTCTGAGTCCAGGTAGCTTGCTCAAGTCCTAACAGTTAAGTGTCAGGGCCAGAACATAAAGCCAAGTATCTCTGACTGTAAAGCCTATACCTTCCTTTAGTATTTAAAGCCCTGGTTTCCGGATCAGGAAGGCTGGTCTTCTGCAATTTCTTCCATTGATAGAAACCTTAAGCAGGGGCTCAATCTTTATGAGGTTCACTCAAAACACCTGAAAATAAAACCTCTCTCCCTCTTTCTTTGACATTATCCCCTTCCACGGCCTTGTGGAATGCTTCTAACAAGATTGACTATACAAAAATGAATAAATTGTTCTTAAGTTTGTAATAATTCTGGAATAAAATACCCCCAAAATAGAAAAGAGGTCTCTATTTGGGTTTCTTTCAACAGTGTTTGCTTGTTTTTATTTTGGGTGTTTTCCTCTAAAATCTGTAATGTGGGTTTAAGATCCTGTTGTTAAAAAGTTTTAAATAAAATCTTCTCTAAGATGGATGATTCTTAAATTTGTTTGCATGTTCTAATATATGGAAAGTGGGGTAACGCGCAGGGGAAGAGGACACAGATTGTAGCTGCTCACTGTATCTTACTGGAATTTACAGCCTGTCCCTTTGCCTGAAATGTTTAATTACACTTCCTTCTGTCGTTTCTCATTGATTCCACATAGAAAATGGTAATTACTTGAGCATTACAATCCCCAAGCTCAAAGCCTGACACAATATAAAATTTTATTTCCAGCTCTGACGGGATTGTGTGGACTTTACAACGCTTTCCATTTCTTAGATTCTGCGACTCATCCTTTATGGCACACAATAAGCAAAAAATTCCCAGCTCCACGTACACAATTTTAAAAAATAGGGAGAGCCAGCGCGCATGCTCCTTACCAAACCACCGGGGACCTCGGCCGGTTGCTAAAGCGCCTGCGCACGGGGAGACACCTCGCCCAGTATACGGGCGGGAAGCCTCCGGGAGAACCCGGATGGAAAGCCGGCGCGGCGCTGGCCGAGGTCCGAACGGGCGCTTAATACCGCGGTCCGCAGGCTCCTTCTCTGGAATCGGGCCTGAGTACCGCCGCCTAGACTAGTTCCGGCGCCCAGAGACAGGACCCCCCAGCCTGAGCGGAGAGCGAACTGGAGCCTGAAGCGGGCGCCTAAAAGAAGCCCGAGCATCCTTTGGGCCTGCGCCTTTGGCTCGGAGAAGGGCGGGTGGAGACCGAGCGGAGTCTTCCTTCTTTGCCGCCGGCGCCCTTAGCTCGCCCGGGCCGCTTCCCGTCCTTAACAATACACCAGCAGGTCCTACCAGTTACGAGCTGCATGTTCTTTACATGCATGCTTATAATTAAACCTCCCAACAACCTGGTAAGGTAGGTACTATTGTCATCCCCCTTGCGGAATCGAGGCTTGGAAAGGTCCTAAGTCACAAAGCCAGGATCCCAGGCGTTTGCTCAGCTACATTCCCGTGCCATTTCTCCTGGCTATTGCTTTAACTGTAAAATGTAATAATTAAATCCTCTGCCTCCCCAGACACCCGCACCTACCTTGAACTAGCATAAACGGTGGCAGATATAAATTGAATTGTTTGGAATTTTAGATTTACAACTGCACTTTCGTGGTGTCACTGCTGAAATACATATTTTAGCATCCCCTAAATATTTCTGTTATGTGAATGATCACTTGTAGTTGACTGGTTTGTCTCTCAATTGTGATACCTTTACATAACTATCTTTATACTCCATAAACTTGTGAAAACATAGCACCCCTTTCATTCTGCATCTTAAGATATTTCTCAACAAATTCTCAAAAGAATCATTCTAAAAATGAATTGTGTCTATTTTAGTAAGGTAATGCTTTGTGTTTTTTTCTGTTTATCATGGAAATTTTCCAGCATACATAAAAATAATGAGAATGGTGTAATGATGTGTACCCCACAACCAGCTCAGCAGTTACCAATTCATGGGCAATCTTACTTCTTCAATCTCCATCCCGTGTGTGTGTGTGTCACAATCTCCATCCCGTGTGTGTGTGTCACAATCTCCATCCCGTGTGTGTGTGTGTGTGTGTCACAATCTCCATCCCGTGTGTCTGTGCGCGCGCGCACACGCGTTAAAGTACAGTATTTCGAAGGAAATGCCAGACATCATTTCACTTGTAAATAATTAAGCTATCTCTAATAAACGAGTACTTTAACACAACCATACCATTACAACACTTGTTTAACAATAATTCTTTAATGTAATGTTTTTTTGATGTTTACATATTTTAAGATATTCTGACTACTAAATACCACAAAGGGGCAAATGAAAATTGTGAGTTGAGGTTCTAAAACACAAGAAAGCCTCTTGAGCGATAAGTTATCTTTGAGGATTTTGAAATTTCTTGCTTCCTATTCTCCCTTTTTAAGGAGAGTGGAGACTAATACTATAAATTAATTTTCCTGAAAATTCTGTTGTTCAAAATAGGTAAATCTTCAAACACAATATACTTAAGTAGGATGGTCAGGGTGGATTGGAGTGGACCCTTAACTGGTCCAGTAATGATTTTTAATGAAACTGAAGCAAAGCTTTTTCATTCATTTCCACTGTCCTTCAAAATATACCTGGTAAAAATATATAATAGTACAGAAAGATAAGCATTTTTTCATGCTGATGTCATAATTTTATTGTTATAAATTAGGAGAGGTTCTAAACACAGTTAGCCCTAAAGTCTCCTCTCTTGACAAATGGAAGTTTAAGATCAACTCTTTAAACCTCACTTTGTCTTTATTGATTGACAGACATCTTCCAATTTTTAACTGGCTCATAACATCCATGTGGCAGGTCAACTCATTAGTTATATACTAATATTAGTACATCTTACAGCTATTTAATCTTTGTAGAGCCACTAGAAGGTTAGTGCTATAACTATATATTCTTGGCTTACTTACGGGACTTTTTTAAGGCCAAAGTGAGCATGTGTATTTAAATGTGTCCTTGTTATTTGTGGCACAGAACTTCGGGGATCACTTATTTATATGGGAAACAATTGTTTTCTAAAGTATATTTGAGCCTACCTGTGGATTATATCCATTTGCTCATTGCTGAGGAAGGAGGAAAAGAGCGAAGACATGGCTTTCTGTTTAGGTCCCGCAACTTTCCCAGGAAGTTGTTACCAAGTCAGAAGACTTAAATGCCTATTAAAGCATTTAGACTGTTTACTTAGCAATGTAAAATATCTGTAAGCTAGGAATTGACCTGAAGAATATATTTTCATTCCTCTAAATATGACTGCTTTCTAGGATATATATTAGAATCACCTGGACAATTGTATTTCAAATCCTTTTGTCCTACTTCTGGAGATGAGTTATTAGTTCTAAGGGACATGTACTTTCAAAGGGGTTCCCAGTGATTGTAATGGGCATCTCATGTTAAAGACTACTGTTGTAATGGCTATTTATGACTTATCTGAAATACTTATTTAGAATACAGATTCTGGGCTCCTACTGCAGAACTAAGGAGCCAGAATCTCTGGGGATGGAGCCCAGGAATCTGCATCTTAGCACTCAGCTGATTCCTCCATTTATTTACTCAACTAGAGAACCACTGCCTTCTACATCCTGTTCTTGGGTTAAGTCGCTTTTTAGGAATGCCACTTGTTTTCATTGCATTGTTTTGGCTTCTTTCTTGACTGCTTTTACTGAGGGGTAATTACATGAAAAAGTTAATGAAATTCCTATTGTAATTCAGGGTGTCCCTCTATGAGAGAAATTTTTCTGAGGTCTCACTAACAAGAACAGTTGTGTTTCTCCTGAGCAACTTATTTTGCTTTTTTATATGGACAGTATCAGTCATGATCTGATAGTGTGTTACCCTTTAGCAACAAGGAAGCTCTAAGCTAAATTTGTATCCTGCTACCTCAGTGGTAGCTTAATCAGACCTGTTTGAAATTCTGTTTAAGTTGGAGTCAGAGCCACTCAAGGATCGGTTAGTTTTACAGACTTTTTTAATCATTAACTATTAAAAAGAATTAGCTACTATGTCAAAACCTGCCCTTCCTTATTTAGTGAATTACTCCCTTCTCTGTTCACTTCTTTATACTGGGGTTCTGCATACAAACTTGGTACAGAATGAAAGGGAGGGGGAGGCAGTGAGATGCCCTTTCTGGGGATATAAAATGTACCAGATTTGTTTGGGACATACATCACTGAAAACAAATTAAGCCATGTTACAGGATATTTCTTGATATGTACACAAATAACAGGATGGCATGTGATGTGGCTTTGTTTTAATTACATTAGCCACTGATTTCTTTTTTATTAATGTATCATTGATAATACCATCTTATGTTGGTTTCAGATATACAACACAGTGGTTCAGCAGTTACCCATATTATTAAATCTTCACCCCCTCTAGTGTGGTCACCATCAACATAGTAAGATGTTACAGAACCATTAACTGTATTCTCTGTGCTGTACTACCAACCCCATACCAACCTATATTGTGATTGTGAATTATTGTGCCCCTTAATCCCTTTCCCCCTCTCTCTCCCCAACTCTTCCCCCTTGGTAACCACTAGTCCCTTCTCAGTGTCTATGAGTCTACTGCTATTTTGTTCCTTCTGTTTTCATTAGCCACTGATTTTTAATGTGTGGGTTATATTTTACTCCCAAAGCAAAATTCTGCAGCATCTCTGGAATACTGCCTGAGGATTTGGGGGTGCCATGTCGAAGAAACGCAGATGGGATGATGACTATGTTCGTTACTGGTTCACCTGTACAACAGAGGTTGATGGAACCCAACGCCCACAGTGTGTATTGTGTAACTCAATATTTTCAAATGCTGACCTCAGACCATCAAAACTATCTGACCATTTTAACAGACAGCATGGTGGTGTAGGTGGGCATGAACTCAATAGCCTGAAGCATACACCCACATCATCTGATCAGAGAGAAACCTTGAAAGCATTTGGAGTTGTATCTCATGAGGATACCTTATTACAAGCATCATATCAGTTTGCATATTTATGTGCCAAGGAGAAGAATCCTCATACAATAGCTGAAAAATTAGTGAAACCTTGTGCATTGGAAATAGCACAAATAGTCTTGGGGCCAGATGCACAAAAGAAGCTTCAGCAGGTACCCTTATCTGATGATGTGATCCATTCTAGAATTGGTGAAATGAGTCAGGATATCTTACAGCAAGTTCTAGAAGATATCAAAGCCAGTCCTCTGAAAGTGGGTATTCAGCTTGCTGAGACAACTGCCATGGATGACTGCAGTCAGTTAATGGCCTTTGTGCGATACATAAAAGAAAAAGAGATCATAGAAGAATTCCTGTTCTGTGAACCTTTGCAGTTAACAATGAAAGGAAAAGATGTGTTCAGTATCTTCAGAGACTTCTTTTTGAAGCATAAGATAGCACTTGATGTATGTGGCTCTGTTTGTACTGATGGTGCCTCTTCCATGCTAGGAGAAAATTCAGAATTCGTTGCTTGTGTGAAAAAAGAAGTACCTCATGTCGTGATCACACATTGTTTATTAAACCCTCATGAACTGGTTACAAAGACATTGCCTACAAAACTGAGGGATGCTCTGTTTACTGTGGTGAGGGTAACAAATTTCATCAAGGGGCGAGCTCCAAATCATCGCCTATTTCAGGCTTTTTTTGAAGAAATTGGAATAGAGTATAGTGTCCTCCTTTTCCATACTGAAATGAGGTGGCTTTCCCGAGGCCAGATACTTACTCATATTTTTGAAATGTATGAAGAAATAAATCAGTTTCTTCACCACCAAAGCAGTAATTTAGTTGATGGCTTTGAAAATAAACAGTTTAAAATTCACCTAGCATACCTTGCAGATTTATTCAAACACCTAAATGAACTTAGCGCATCTATGCAAAGGACTGGGATGAATACAGTATCAGCTAGAGAGAAGCTTTCTGCTTTTGTTAGGAAATTTCCATTTTGGCTAAAGCGAATTGAGAAAAAAAATTTTACCAATTTTCCTTTTCTTGAAGAAATAATTGTTTCAGATGATGAAGCTGTTGAATCCATTGCAGCTGAAATACCACTGCATCTGCAACAGTTAAGCAGCTTCTTCCATGGGTATTTTTCCATTGGAGATCTTGATGAGGCAAGCAAATGGATTCTAGATCCATTTCTTTTCAATCTGGATTTTGTTGATGATGGTTATTCAATGAAAAATGATCTTGCTGAATTACGAGCTAGTGGTCAAATCCTAATGGAATTTGAGACAATGAAGCTTGAGGATTTCTGGTGTACCCAATTCACAGTGTTTCCAAACCTGGCAACAACAGCTCTAGAAATTCTTATACCATTTGCAACTACATACCTTTGTGAGTTGGGATTTTCATCACTTTTACATTTTAAAACAAAGTCCACAAGCTGCTTTAATATGAGTGATGACATTCGTGTGGCTATTTCAAAAAAAGTTCCTCGTTTCTCAGACATCATTGAACAAAAGCTGCTACAGCAGAAGTCACTGTAAACTGATACACTCTTAATGTATAATTTATTATATATTCTTGATCCCACTGTAAAATTAAGCTATAATTTTGTCTCTTTCCTTTTATATTTATGGTATACCAAATCCTATCTTTAAAATTTTTAACATCTTTAACTTTTGTTACATGAGGCATGTGAAAATATGTTTTAAGAAGAACACAAGCAGAAAAGACTAAGTACTACCACCTACTTTGATACATAGGATTCTTCCAATTCTAAGTATCTGTTAAACCTGTTGCTGTGATACATAAAAAAGACACCTACACAGTAGAATATCCAGCAGAAAGGTACAATAGGCTAGGAATGGAGTCAAGAGAAAAGAGAAGACCTCCCCGGACATGCATCTTCATGTTAAGAGTCAAAGCCGAAGGACAGAATGACAGGCTGAGTCCTCCCGTCTCGGTGAGGGTTGTTATGGGAGGTGAATGAAATCAGAAGAGGATTATGAAATGTTACAGTGGGAGGAGGGATGATTCTAGTTTATGTAAGATTTATCTTTCAACGTATTTTTTGGAGTTATTCTCACAATGTCCATTCATCTAGCTCCCATGCTCTGAGTACCATGACATTAATAAATATTCTAATACCCTTTTAGTCACTCTGTCTTCTTTTAAATTATATCAGGACTCCAAGTTACTGAGGCTGCTAGAAAGGAGATCCCAGACCTTTAACCTGAAGATTCTGATTTTGCAGTGTGGGATAAGATCAAGGATTTTTCCTTCTCAACCAGGTTTCCAGATGGTTCCACTAGTTCTTTTGTCCTCTGGCCTCATCTTATTTTTCCTATGCTTACTTTTCCTTTACCCCACTCTCCTCACTTTACATCTTGTATTTTTTTTTCCAGCATAGTTCAAAACATTTGAATGGATCAGAGTTTAAATAATGAAATCACTGTAGTAATACAGGGCCATCAAAAAGTTCCCCATGGGAATTTAAATTAATGTAGTTTTTCTGGATGATAATTTGGCAAAATAATGCTTTTTAATTTAAATAAATTTTTACATTTTTATTTCAAAGCTTTTATGTTTTATCAAAGTACTGTATATGCTCAAGGCTGGGGAAAAAATGAGTAAGTCCTATAATAAAAAGCTACTCTCCCCTAACTTCCCAGTTACCTTAACCATGTCTGCTTTAACTTTTTGTGATTCCACCAATATCTCTAATATGTTTATGTCAAACACATGCCAGTTTTGATTTGTCAGCTTTAGAAGTTATATAGTGATTCCTCTAGGTAATAGGTAAGGATTAAATTTATAGAATATCCATCTCCTCCCCTATTCTCAATCTTTGATTATTATAGTACTAATTTTAGCTCCTCTATGGATTATTCATATCCCTTTGGTTGAGGATTTTTCCCTCTAGGAATTTGCCACATGGAAAGAATCAGGGATATTCATAAAGTTTTATTTATAAGGTGGGTAATTGCAGCATTTTTATAATAGTGAAAAACTGAAAAAGAAAACCTGAAGGAGAATGGAATCTGACTACCAAATTTATATGTCACTTGAGTACCACAAATTGAAGTTTGTATTTTCTACATAAAACTCAAACTTTTCACCATCCATCAAAATACTTTTATCAAGAAATGTAAGTGCATGCCTTTAAAATATTTTTAAATGTAGTTGCCAAATATAAAACCTAATTTTTCCTGGTATAATCTAACATCAAGAGCAGAGGGAGAAACTTCGAAAGCTAATGCAGGAATTACTCTGGATGAGTATGTATCAAGTTTAGTATGTATACATATCTAAAGAGAGGAAGGAAGGAAGGATGGGAGCTCACGGGGCATTCGCGGCCCTCGAACAGAATGCCACAAGCAAATGACCTTTGATAGCCAGCTTTTCATTAAGTTCACTAGAATTCTCTCTCTACACTACATTTATTAATACTTGCTCTGAAAGAAAAACCCAAAGGACATTTTAAAGAAAATAGCTGAGTTTTTAAGGTCATTATCAAATTCTCCAAGTTTGTTTTTTCCTGATCAAATGAAAGACACTGCAGTGTCTGATAAAATGAAGAGGAAATGTAATTTTTTTTTTCAGTTTAAAACAATATCTCACAATGGTACATATACCAGCACATACCGGTCATATGTGTTGGTCTTTTTCTTCCAAGGAGGAGATAATTTTCTTGTATTTTTACTCTACAATTAAGGTCATTGATAAATTGCAAAAAGGGGTCAGGATAAAGATACCATCTTTCTGACCAGCAGATGTCACTCTCTGTGCATGATTGGTTGAAAGGAAACTTAACCACATTAGAGATTTTGCCAAATATATATGATTTTAAACATCTCTAGATGGGATTAGTAGCTCACATTAAAAATGCCCCACCTGAGCCTCTGCTGGCTCAAAATTGGCAGACAGAACTGCAGTGGAGCCAGTAACTACCAAACTGCAGGAAATCATTGGGAAACAAGAATGGAAAAGAATATTTATTAGGCTTTTTCTCTAAAACAAACCTGAGTATGTGGATTTTTTGACATCTTGGCTGCTTTGCTAAGCTACTTGAAGTGTGTGGACAGGTCAGCATTTTCAGACAATGCAATGGGAAAACCAAATAGGGTGTTTAAAGGGTGAACTTTATGGTATGTGAATTACATCTCAGTTTTATAGTAATTAGGCTCTTGGTATTTATAGTATAGAATCTTTGAGTACAAAGTTATATCAAAGTATTATAAGCGTGGCTTTATAACTACCAAGCATTTGTAAAAGTCAAATTTCACCTTAATTTGAAAGGCAGCTATAAGGTAATTAATTTGTTGTATTTTGTATTTTATCTAATGAGTGTAAAAAGAGGCCTGTAATTTAAACTTGAGCCAATACTCCATTCATTCATTACCTGACTGCCATTAGCCCCCACTCTGGTGGACCATAGTAATGCTGGGTCTCAGGAATTATCAGCTCAGGGCCACTGCCTCTTACCAATACCCAGAAGATCTGAGGATTTTCTTTCTTCATAATACACAATCACCCAGTTGAAGACTGCAGGTCTCTGGAGAAGTCTTGGAAGAAGGTTAATAGTATATATGTGGTAGTGTTGTGGAATTGTTACCAGAAGTCAGCATGTCCTTCAATCAAGGAGCTCTGGATCTGACAACTAGCTCAGGTGTTAAGTGAGGAGAGACTATGACCCTCTCTGTAGTCTGACTTCAGTCACATTTCTGAGCATCAGACCAAGAGTTTTCCCTGTTGTATAGATCCAGCAATATTTTATTAGACTAACCATCTATCTCACTGCTAGGTCCACTGTACCAATTAGCTTCTGTATTATTCAGGGTTCTCCAGAAAAACAGAACCAATAGGGTATATGTATATACACACATATATACATAGAAGATTAGATGGGTAGATAATAGATTTATTATAAGGATTGGCTTATGAAATTATGGAGGCTGGCAAGTCCAAAATCTGTAGGGTAGGCCAGCAGGCAGAGAGTTAGGAGAACTGATTCTGCAGTTCCAGTCTGAAGACAGAGACAGTCAGCTAGAGAATTCTCTTGCTTGGGGAGGATGGTTTTTTTTCTATTCAGGCTTTCCATGAATTGGATGAGGCCTTCCCACATTAGAGGGCAATCTGCTTTACTCAGTCTACCAATTTAAATGTTAATCTCATTAAAAAGCACCCTCACACCCCCAGAATAATGTTTGACAAGCTATCTAGGCACCCAGAGACCCAGCCAAGTTGACATAAAACTAATCCTCACACCTGCTATCTGTGATCCCTGTGGGTCAAAACACTCTGATTCAATCATTTTGTCCCTGCTGTGTATTATAGTAAATACAGCCACCTTAACTCTGGTGACTGAACACTGCCACTGGCCTCTGCTACTGTAGGATCCTATCAGCCGCACTGAAAGTGAAGGCAAGGAAGGCTCAGAGTGAGCAGGGGTTTAGATTTTCAGCTTCATCAGAGTCCATGCAGATGTCCTCATTCCAAATCTTGGGGACACTCTCCCAATCCTCATCCTAACTTTGCCTGAGAAATACAGGCTGTGGATTCAATTTACATCTAATTCTGCTACCCTATTAAATATTGTATCCAAATTTGCAACTACAAGAGATATAAGACACTTAGGGCTGCTGTAGAATCTCTCTAGTTCTCTAATGAGGACTTGAACTGACATTTTAAAGAACTGTGTTCATTTTCTTCTTTAAGCACTCCAGTCCACCCCCACATACAGTCCTTGTAGTCATTATTCCCAGCAGCCCCCTGGCCCCACATCGCATCTGCTTCAGGAGGTTCTTCATCACAATAATTAATAACCAA